TTCAGAATTCCAATTCATCCTATTTTCTTTCATGTCCTTAAGATTGGTTTTGTCATCATAATACCACTGAACAACAGACTGAGAAACAAGAATCATGCCCCTACTTTTTAAGCGGAGAACGTAGCTTCTGTAAATCGACTTGTGAATGAGAGACAGAGACCAGAGTAATATGAGAACGGTGGTAGTTCACATGCCTGACTGACCTATTTTGAAGTTTTTTATACTGGCCAGGCTCTCCTAGCATAGATTCCAGCACTGTAGGAAAAAGAACAATTTCTTTCCCATGTCACCTCAGCTTTTATTGTTTTTAACACCAAAGTGAAAGCTAGAATTTTAATATATTGATTTTTTTTTTTCACAGAATGAGGTAAACTGCATTGCATGTCTGTTCAAGCAGTTACTCAGTCTGCCCAGAATCTCATGCTGGTGTTGTCAGGGGTACACACACATAATCTTGGTGTGTACGTAGCTCCAGACAACGTGATGGTGATGTGAGGTTATTGAATCACTTTTGTTTGTCTGAGAGAATGTGTTCTGCCTCTGTCCTGCTCCTCTCCTCTCCCCAGATTCCTAAGTTTGTGGAAGTGGGAGCAGGAATACAGGAGTAAGAAGTTCGTACTGTGTTCCAGGACATGGGTTTCTTGTTGCTCTTAGCTTCTGCACCGCAACCTTAATGACTTTCTGTTGTTGTTGTTGAATTTTTGAGACTTGGTCTTATAGTTCAGGCTGGCCTTGAACTCATTAGTTAGCCCAGGCTGGTCTTGAACTTGCAGTGTTTCTCCTGCCTCAGCCTCCCCAGGATTACGGGTGTGCACTACCGTGCCCAGTCCTGGTGTCTTGTAATACTGAAAAGATGACCTTCAGATTGGTGTCAATATATATATTTCTGGATATGATTTACAATCCCAGCACATAATTTCAAACTTTTATTTTGTAACAGAATGAATGGTCTTGATTGACTGGTGTTTAAGATGGGAGCAAGTGGGTTTCCTATTTGATATAGGAAACTGGAGATTGTAGGAGTTAGTAGCTCCTTTTAATGGCTCTGTTAACTATTTTTAAGTTTTTTACGTATTTGGTGCAGGGTCTCATTACGCAGCTCAGACTCATAGGGATCCTCCTGTTTTCAGCCTCCCTGGCGCTGGGATTACAGGTGTGTGCCACCGCGCCCAGTCTCACTGGCCCACTCAGTGCTCCTGAGGGTGGGCCAGTGTGGCACGTGGTGCCAGGGACTGAACCCTGGTCCCTGCTCTTGCCTAAGCAGGTGCTTAGTCTGCTGAGTTATCTGGCTGGCACTCAGCATAATGTTTTAAAGAAAGTTCTGCATAGGCCCTGCCATCGGAAGTTAGTGTAAGGCTAGTTCTTAGAACTGTGAGCCTGGTCTGTGACAGTGAAATTGCAGTTTTTCAGCCTCTGCTGTCTATTAAAGTCCAGTCCACAAAAGACTACTGACTTGTTTTGCTTATTAGTGAACGAAAAATTAAGCATCTGTGGTAGACCAAGCAGATGTTCTGTCTTAGCACTGAAGCTGTCTAGTGAAGGAGAATCCACTAAATGCAAAGAGTTTAAACAGAATGTCCTCAGAGCAGTAAGAAGCACAGCTACCTGTGCTGAGGATTATCAGGAAGTCCTTCTGGTTCAGGTTCTAAAAATGAATTTAAACAAGGTTTGCATTATTTTTGCATAGAAACATAAACTCAAGAAGTTGGGCATTTCAGGGTGAGGGATGAATTCAAGAGTTGCATACAGCCTTGTGGTGGTCACAGCCTGCTCAGTGCTCTTTCTGTGTGGCTGGGTGGCCTCAAACCCTGCGCCCGCAGCGCAGCGGTGAATGTTGGGAAAGCTTCTAGGTGCCCCTAGGGCTTCTTCAGTGTGCAGGACAGAGTTAAACCTGAAATCTTTTTTTCTACAAATCATCAAATGATAGTGTTGAAGAAGATACAATAAATCAGTGTTCATTTCTTTCTAACATTCCTATAATTTTGGGGATTCTCAAAGTGATAAAAGTAAACCTGTAATTTATACTATTCTGAAAAGCCTATCAGAAATTACAGATTTTCTGGTAGTATTAAGTGCGACATTTCTTTGGTTTGTGCCAGAATTGTATCAGATTCACATTAAAGCAGAGATTTGATAGAATTGTCTTCTCATTCTCTGGTTATCATTATGCTTGATGTGGTAAGACCCTTTCAGAATCCGGGAGTGATGTCGTGACAGAACAGGTAACTTGGAAGCAGCTGCTGCCATGTTGGTAATTCACAAAAGGCTTCTCAGGGACTTTGTCTTCATCATCACAACACTGGAATTGCTTACCAGCCGGAGACCTGAGGGCAGCGAGAAGCTTTGCCTCTCACACTGGCATCCTTTCAGCTGCTCCAGCACCCACAACCTTGCCGTGTGTCCCAGCAGCACACCAAGATCCTCCCTGCAGAAGCACCTGTCACATCCTCACTGGGGGTCACACTGCCTGTCTCAGACCACAGCACCCTGTCCCATTTCCTGCCCAGGAATACAGGTGGCCATCTGTTTCCCTCTTGTGGTGCCCGTGTCCCCTCCCAGCACCACCCCTATTCTTCAGGCCCCTTGCAGCCCCTTTCCCTGCCCTCCAGTGCGTCCCTGATGCTCAGCTGGGGATGCAGATTCTCCCCTCTTCCCTTGCCAGGCAGCCTCTGTTCCTATGGGTACAGTGCAGTGGGTCACTCTGCTGGAATAAGAGGAACTGGTGTAGAGAGGGATGTTACCAGGTTGCCGTCACTGCCTGCCTGCCTGCGAGAATATTATTAAGACAGGTGTTATAAACATTAAGTGCAAATGTCAGAAGGTAGATTTTCTTATGTGTTGATAATGCTAAAAAGTACTATTTCTTTCTATATTGCAATACTTTAATCCCTAGTATCAGTTTATTTTAGTCTCTTCCCCCTCTTTTCTTAGCTTAGTCTAATTTTCATGAATCTTCTCTTCATAAATATCTTTCCAGCATATTCCTTCTTGAGTTTCTGACATTTTCAGGGTATCAGTCAGTGTTATTTAATGCGTGCTTTCCCTCCCACCTGTGCATGTGTGCAGTGTTAAAGGGAGAGAGAAAAGAGGACAGTTAGTACAGAGGAGTTGGTGTTATTCTCATCTCTAATCAAAGACAGTCGCAAGTTTCCTTGTGCCTGTATCCTGTTTTCACCACTCTCTGCTGTAATCCATTTCCTTCTCTTTCTCTGCCCCTCTCAAAAGATCCTTATTCTTTGGCTCATTGTTCCTGTGGTCTGCCCGTTCCTCTGAGAATCATATAGAAAGGGAAGTCAGGAGGTTGGACTTGTGAGTCTTGCTGCTCTGTGCAGTGTGTTCTGAATGACTAAGAGGCATTGCTCCTCTGGCAAGCACTTGGGAGTGTGGTCTCTCTGTCCCCTTGGGGTCCCTGCAGAAGACCAGTAGGCACTGTTTGCATGACAGAAACTTTCTGTGTTTGACCACATGTGTTACGAAACCGTAATGGGCAGCTTCCCAAAGCATAGGCAGCTGGACGTAGTACGGAAAATAGAATGACTCTCACAGCAGGAGGTCTGTATCTAGTGCCAGCTTTCCCTCTAGCTGCTGTGTGACCTTAAATAAGTCAGTTAGGCCTCTTTGTTCTACTAGCTCCTGTTTCTGAAATAATCCTTAGTATCAGCGAGTTCTCAGGCTCTGCACACTTTTGAAATACACATGGCAGCACAGCTGAGTAGCTAGAGTTAAAGGGAGTGTGCAGTTTTTAAATTATTTTTGATACACAAAGACAACATACTAATGTTTTTCTTTAGTGAAAACTGATATTCTAGGAAAACAAATTAGGGGAATTTACTTCAATATAGTTACTTTTAAATTATGTTCTTCTGGTAGTCCAGATTTGCATTGAGCACGTTTTAATTTGTGTGGGACTTAACATTATGGTACTCCTATTAACCATTCTTTTTTCTTTTTTTTTTTTAATGTATTTAGTACAGAGTCTATGGGGTCTACAGGGTTTCACTACGTAGATTGGACTCGTAGTGTTCTCCTGTTTTCAGCCTCCCAAGCACTGAGATTACAGGTGTGTGCCACCACACCCAGTCTCAATTGTCTCACCATGCCCCAGGGGCAGGGCCGGCATGGCACCCCTGGGATCGAACCCCAGCTGCTGTACTCTGCCTAAGCAGGCACTTTAATCTCCTGAGCTATCTGGCCCACCCTTCTTTTGTGTAGCATTCTTTTCACCTGCTGTAGTCTCTGAGGAGGGGGCCGATGCTTTGCCTATTAATAAAAATAAGTTTATTTCCCATATTGTCTTTTATGTATTGAGAAAGATTTTATTGCTATAAATTAATATCCTTAATTTTAGCCTTTTAGATGTTTATAAGCTTCATGATTACTAATACTTTCTCTAGAGTATTTCAGTGGGTAAAAGAGGTTACTTATATTTTATTTTCGTTACTATTTTTTCTTCTATTATTTGAACCTTGTTGAAAGTTTTCCTCTTTTTCGTATAGTTTTTTTTTTTCTAAAAGGTCTTATGCTTCTATTACATATTAAGATAAGTTTATGAAATGTTTTCTTGAATATACTAATGGTAAAGTTTAGGTAAGCTAGACTATTAAAGCTAACTCAAACCACCAATTTCAACTTAACTGGGTAATTGCTAAGGTAATTTTTTAAAATAAAATTTCAAAATATATTAACTATAGTAAAATTGGTAAAAGTTTGATCTTACACTTGCTCAAAGAATTAGTGATTTTGACTGAATCAGTTGTTTAATAAATTAAAGCTTTATTTTACAGTTGCTCTGTGTAAAACTTCAAAATGTTCAATAAGCTGAACTAAGCTGAGACTTTATGTGTTTATTCTGTTGCTTAAGTTAGTATTGGCAAAAGAAGAGTAGCCATTAAAGTTCAAGAAGCAGTTACTTAAATTACCAACAGATGATAACTTATCAGCAGCCCATCCAAAACACACTAAGTCAACATAATGTGCCTGTACATATTTTTTCTTCTTAGATCAACTAAAACAAAGAATTCAATTGATAAATCAACAGAGACTGACAATGGCTATGTGTCCCTTGATGGGAAGCAGACTGTTAAAAGCAGTGAAGATGGAATACAACATCATGAACCTCATTGTCAAACTCTTCGGTCGGAAGAGACCACCCGGCTCCCAGCAGTGCCGAGGAGCATCCTCAGCAAAGTGAGTGCCCGCCTGTGGGAAGCAGGTGCATAGAAACATTGCCATGTGCCCTCACCCCTTGTTACCAGACCCGACACTGTGCAACTTCTGCCTCATCCTCAAAGTCTAAATTATCACGAAAGGGAAATGTTTTTAGTTGATTTGGGACATGGAGGCAGCCATAAAAATTAACTAAAGACACTCATGACGGAAGAATTCCAGAACTGCTTCAGGTGGCAAGAACAATGGGATGAGTGTGCTCAAAGTGAGGGGGGATTTTGAAAATTAATGGCAATGTGTTTTTTACTGGAACACATTGTTTAAGAATTTTCCTTAACATTCACCATATATTTTGATCATACTACATAATCCCTTACTATGAGTTTAGATTTTTCGAGCATTTAGCTATGTGATATAAATCTTGCATTACTCGGGGTCAGGGAGATGGCTTAGTGGAATAAGCGCTTCCCTGGCAAGCGCAAGTTCAGTCCCCAGTTCCGCCAAATAAATAAATAAAAAATAAATAAATCTTGCATTACTGTCATCACTCAGCAGCTACGTTTTGGGATACATTTTCAGTTATGTAGACTTGCTAAAGTTACAGGAGAGAAGCGGGAAGATAATAGAAGTTTTGCTGTGTGGAGGGTTAAATTCAGAGTTTCACATGTGCTCAGCAGACCTTCTGGGGCTGTGCTGTGGCCCCAGCCCTGGGTATTTCAGAATTGCTAAAATCTGAGTGTCCCCTACAGAGTGATTTATGCATTTTATCTCTCTGATAATACACACCTATTCAGCTATCATTCACCTTCTCTTCCTGTCCCAAAAGTCACTGTTAAATCAGTGGTTTGATGTTGTTTTTGAAAAAAGTGTAACTAGTTCTCAGGTTTCTAGCTTCTGTCAAATGGCCTCAGCTGTGCTTCTGTCCCATCTTGTATTAATTTTGTGAGTTGTTTGAAATCTTTTTATCTACTGAAATGTAGGACAGTGTTCAACAAATGGCTGTTACTTTAAAAATTAAAATACAGTTTTTCTTTTCTTTCTTTTTCTTTTTTGGTGGTATTGAGGATTGAAATCAGGGTCTTGCATGGGCTTGGTAATCATCCTATCATTGAGCTGTGTCACCAGCCCAGCAAAAGTATATCTTTAAGAATATAATTGCCATTTTGAGATACGTTTGCAGGTAGTACTAGTCATTTATTTGGCAGTATTTGATGATGTTTCAAATGTATATGTAACTTAAAATGCTGCTGTTTTGAAGCTAATAGGTCAAAAACATTTTTTTTTTTTTCTTGTTGATTTTTGACAGTCTCACTCTGCAGTTCCGGCCAGCTGTGACCTCATATGAGCATGGCTTGGTCACAGACTTGCAGCAGTCGTCCGGCCTCAGTCTCTTGGGTGCTGGGGTGACAGGCATGTACCACCACGTACTGCAGAAGTGACTTTTTTTTTTCTCCATAATTTTATTGAGAAACAAATAGCAATGACACAGTTTCAAACCCAATTGGTAGGACAGATTCAATAATTAACACATTGCATACATTCTTCCTAGTGGTTAATTGCTGTACAAAATGCGGACATCAGAAATGGCTTCTAATCGTCTTTGTATACTCCAAACTTAGGATACCCAAAGGACAATAACAAATGTCTCTGATGAAGTATCCAGTGAAGAAGGTCCTGAAACAGGATATTCACTTCGCCGCCACGTGGACAGACCTTCTGAAAGCGTCCTCCGGAATAGAAAGTCACATCATTACAAGAAGCATTATCCTAATGAGGTATATATATTTGGCCTTGCGTATGTAACTGTTTTATACATTACTAAGTATGACTTCTCTCAACAGTTGAATATTATTGAACTATTTCCTACCATAGTCGGTATTTATTTTTACATTGACTTATAGAGCAACAGAGTGAGATTTCTGACTTGCACACACAGTGGCAGTTGTGTTGCCATGATCACTCTGTGTCATGCACTCAAGCTGCTGAGTACTCTTAAGTGAGACTGTCCTGGAGAGGCAGTCTGCAAGCTCCCGAGTTCATCCTTCCCACAGGGGAAAAGCTGTAGAAGTTCTTGTTAGTTGTTTTCTGAATGACTTTCTTCGTGTTGCTGTCATTCTTTATTAAGTTCTCCACGCTGTATAGCTTTCAATTTTTTTCATTGATTCTATTTTTCTTTGTTGATTTTTCTTTTCCCATTTTATCACCTCTTGAGCTTGAAATTACTTAAATAGAAAAAGGTTCATTCCAACTTATTTTCATTTTCTTTGGACAGTTTTCTTACCTGGCTTCAAAGCAGACTACCTTATGCTACTGTTTTGAGTAATAGTATCTCCTCTTTTTAAAGTGTACTGCTGGTTTTTTCTTGATGCTTTTGGGTTAAACTTAACAAAAAATCAAATGTTACCCTGGGTGGAATGTGAGTAACTTCAGCGTGCTGAGACGAGACAGTCTCCTGTTCTTTGCATATTCTCTGTGCTCGTGTCCTGGGCCGCTCTTTCTGCGTAAGGGGACTGTTTCTTTCTCAATAGTGGCTGCTCTGACAGACACTGCCCAGTGGCATGCCCTCTCCCATCCACCTGTGTCATTTCCACGTGCTGTCTGTCTCCAGAGTTCAGAAAAGCAACCAAGCTTGTGACCTTCACAGCCTTACTGCACCAGCAGTTACAAGTCCTTGGTGCCTGGACAAGCTGGATGGCTGTTGGACCACTCTCTTGTGGAGTACATTATTGAGCTCTGGGTACCTTTCTCACCCAGGGACCTTTGTCCTTCTTGATTGGCAGCTGTTTTTGAAGCTGTCATGATTCATGCTGGGACACTACTAGGGACTGAATCCAGGGCCTCTTCCCTGGGCAACATTCCCAGTGCACCCAGCTCTTCAAGTCCTTTGAGTTGCCTTAAGTCTAGTGTCAAACTTGGGGTCAATCTAGTTCTGAGTGCAGGTTATAGCTTGCAGAATTCCTAAAAGATGGAACATTGTTCTACTAATCCTGACTTTGCAGTAAATGTGTTGGTTAAATTTTTTCTAGGCTTCGACCTAAGTAAGGCTCATAATTAGTTAATATATATTGGTTGATTATGCTTGATTTAGACCTTAAGTATATTTTAAAAGCTGTACTCAGTTCCAAAAAGCTTGCCCAGCAAGTACGAGGGCCTGAGTTCAATCCCCAGTACCACAAAAAAAAAAAAAAAAAAAAAGGAAAGAAAAAAATTAAAATGGAAACAGATCTGTGGTGTTTTTAAAATTTGTATTATAAATTAATCCTTTTAAATTGCTGGTGATATTCTTTTCTGTGAGAGTGAGGCACCCCATCACCACCACCAGGAAAAAAAACCCAACAACTCCTTTGGGCAAGAACAGTAAGCAACTCTAATGCCTAGAATGTGTTGTTATCTCTTTTAAAGAAAGTTTCACAAAAATCTGCTTCTTGAAGGAATGATTATTTCCTTGTTCCTGAAGATTATGGGAACCTTTTGGCATGATAGAAAGCAAGGAAGCTATTAGAGATGACAAGGGTTTTCTCAGATTTTCTTAGGGGCCACAGATAAGAAGAACTTAAACAAATAGAAGCATTCCAATGAGTAAATAAAAGAGGAACTTTAAAAATGTGTGGGAGGTACCTCATCCAAGGTGGGTTTGGAGAGCTTCCCTGTAAATGAAGGGTCTGGAGCCCAGGCTTGGGCATAAGCCCCACAAAGCCCATTCCAGCGGCCTTGCAGGCATCAGCATTTTCAGGAAGAGCCAGCCTGGGTTGGGGTGGTGGATAAACACCAGGCTGCCAAGTGTTGGATACCAAGAGTGCTCACGCTGAGTGAGGGTCTTGTCATTTCCTGGGTGGACTTTCACCTGCTCGTGACATCTTCTAATGACTGTGATACCTGATCGGCTTCTTCAGTCCTCCTGTTAGGCAGGTGCTGGTGGAGTTACTTGGTGGTGTGGGATGCAGAGAATGTCCTGGGGAAAAGACAGCTTCTTTCAGATGTGTGTCCTGCTAGCTACTCCATTCTGCTTTGCTTATCTCTACTAGTCTCTTTCAAATTGCACTCCATGTTGTAGATGAGATTTTCATCTAATGAAGGTAGTATTTGACGGGAGGCATAATGAAGAAAAGGTGGACTTAGAGTCAGATCATTTAAGTGACTTGGGGAAAATAGCTTAATTTCTCCATCTTTGCAGTAGACAGATAAGCCTGGCCTTCACAGATGTTTGGGGTTAGCAACATAAACTGCCAGAACAAGACATTTCTGTTTTAAAAGTTTTATTTCCTTCAAACAAATACTAAATCCCTAAATTTGAATATATA